AACAGTTTGTCACAGCCCCTCGTTTGTTGTCCTCTTCTCTCTCTCTGCCTACGGTTTTACCGGGCAGTTCTGTTTGTGACGATATACATATATATCGTCAAAAGAATATCAGAGGGCAAAAGCGAAAAAAAGAAAAAAAGAAAAAAAGAAAGAAAAAACAGGAAAATTTGAATTCATTTTTTTATATCTTCTTCCTTACAACTCCCCCTGTTCACAAAGAACCTCTTTTGCGTACAAGGCCGCCCACGTGGATGTAGGTTGAGCGGTGGCTGCCCCCACCCCCGTGTGTCATATCTACCCACTTGTATATATGTGACTAAAGAATAGCCATATAGCCTATAGCCTGTGCTCGTGGCTATGGAATAACAGCCATTCAGACTCTATATAGCTTGGAGTGCTCTGGAAAAGGGTAGCTAAACCACCCCAGTAGTACTTGGCCCAGCTATCGGCCGCCGAAAAAAATAGAGTAGACACGTTTCTAGTCGGATGAATCTGGGCGCTCCTGTAGCGGTCCGTACATTTCCTAAAATTGTTGTGCCTTCTTAATGGCCACGACTTTAGCAAGTACTGCCGTGGTTTAATGACGCCCCCAGCGCACCTCTTCCCCTAAGGCAATAGCTTCTTCCTCAGCCTTATTTCTTTCCTTTATAGCCGTATTTGGTGCACTTTTCAGTCCAGATACAGCCTATAGCCTGTGCTCCTGGCTATGGAATAAAACAGCCATTCAGACTATATATAGCTTGGAGTGCTTTGAAAAAAAAAAGAAAAAAAAAAGGGTGGTTTAATGACAGCCGCAGCGCACCTCTTCGCCTAAGGCAATCGCTTCTTCCTCAGCCTTATTTCTTTCCTTTATCCGCTTCTTCTTTTCCTTCGTCTTTTCTCGCCGAAGCTTGGCCATCAATTCAGATCGCTTGGTTTTGTCCTTGACAATCGACGGCCGCAAACGCGCGCTCTCCCTCGGTGCGTCATCGGCGTCATCATCGCGTTCCTTTCGCTTGGCCATCGGCTGCCTGACCTTCCTCAGCAGCAGTCTTCCAGGTCAGACAGGCTCTCAATAGCAATCCCTCTCTCCCTCTGAAGACCCCGAATAGACAGACAAACGAACAAACATCACAACAAGCGGAAAATGAATAGCTCAACAAACAGAACAGAGGAATGGACTCCAACAAGATAACACTCGGCGACATCACTACCGTCCTCCCTCCCTCCCTCCCTCCC